CTGAAATATATGCAACATAAAATTTATTTGAAATATATATACAATGTAAGTACACAATTAATATTTGAAATGTTTTTAGTTATGTTTTTGCTCATTTTTTACCGATAATTTTAAAAAAATTTGAGTATAGTTATTTGCATATATTTATGCATATTTTCTTTTTCTCTAAAAACTATTTAATTCATCGACTATTTGATATTTGATAATATCATACGTTAATTTTTTTTGGTTTAAACACAACCTTTAAAAACTTAAATTTCCTATTGTTTGTTTATTAATGTTGCTCTTTTTATTGTTAATCATTTTGAAATGATAAAAAAAAAAATTATGGTCAAAAAGGTTAATTCTCTTCTCTTTCATTCTCCACCTTCTTTCTTTGTTAAAGCTCAGCCTAAGAGATCTTTATCATCGCCACCCAGATCAGATACGCCAAAGCTACTGTACATAACTAAGCTTCACAACCACCCCCATATACAATCGCAAAGAAATTCTTAATCAAAGTTGGGAGAGATGAATCTCTGTTCACACTTGTGACAACCATATTATTTCACAAAATGACTAACACGAAAATTTAACGAATGCTATAAACACGCCGCAAATTTATAAGAATCTCCAAAAAGAGTTGGGAAAAACTGCAAGTCTACTATAATGGCAATAACAAAAGTACAAACTCCATCTTTGATTTCAAAGTTTCAAGCTTTGTCTATTTTGCTTAAACAACCAAATCATTCAGCCTTTTACTCCTCTATTGATCGAGATGTCTGGTGCATCCTGCAACATACGCCATTCAACGACTTCAAAGTCTCTGAACAATGATTTCACATACCGCTTAGCCTTCATGATTCCTAATGTTTCAAAGGAAGAAAGACCTTCATGATTCCTGCAAAAACAGCGCCCCTAAGCCCTGAGGTATCCCACGTGTTTCCTCTTTGGTCGATCCTATTTCCCAGTCTGAGGTCATGTTGATTAAAATCACCGAGACTAAATGTTAGAAACAGGGAAAATGGAAGTGTCATAGCATGACCTTGTCGAGATAATTGTATCTCGAAGCCCATTTCGTTCCCTTTTAGAGCTGTATGAAGATACCAGTGCGGTAATTCTTTGTCGAGACTAAACAAAAACCATGGAGCTTCTTGTTGGATTATGAAAAAAGAGAATACCAAACGGGCTAGGTAATCCTTGATAAATGGTGTGTCCTCTGCTTTGAACTATGTGTTGACAGAGCTGTAAAAAAAAGAACAAAGGGGATAAGCAGATATATGGTTAGTGTTTGACCTTTGTTTTGAAATCCGAAGAATCATGTACCATCATGCGGTTGATAATCCTTCTCTTAAAACACTGGAAAACTTCATTTGGATGAGAAATCAGAGTAAAAGGCCAAAAAAAGCAGACAAAGATTGGCTATAATCTTCTACTTTCTCTTCAACATCAGGTTTGCTAAGAAAGTGCCATCTACTTTTTTCTAATTATGACTGTAGGAAACATAGCAGGTTGGGTGAAAGATTAGTTAACAACTCGTGGACTATAACAACATGAATGTTAGATAGTACAAAAGCTAGGCTAGATGATTTGCTATTTTTGTTGTGGGGAAAGAAAACCATTTGGTAGATTGGTCATAAATTTGGATTTTTACGTTTAGTAGTGAGTCTTCCTCTTTCCATCTTATGAATTTAACTCAACCATGAAGATTCGAGAATAGTAACATAGGAATAGTTTACCTGACGGTTTTACAATTTCTTGGAAATGGATATTCCTTTGACTCCTCCCTCTGTTTCTCATGGCTACATGGAAATAAGTGCAAAATGGCCTTTATTTAAACGAAAAAACTATAATCTTAATAGCAACACCAATTAATTATTAGTAGTAGCAAATAATTAACGAAAAGAAGAACTATCGAAACAAACTATATAATAAAACTCTAATCATCCCTAACATCCATAAAAGCAAAAGTTATCTATCTCTTAAACACAAAAACGCTAGATAGTTTCTGTCATAACTTAGTAAAAAAAAAGCTAAAAAGCAGAAACCAAAAACTCAAAATTGTTATATTGAAGGTGTTCATGTTTACATTAATCTCAGAACATGATAACTCTAAATCTACAGGACTAATTAACAGCAACACTAAACTTCATCCTCCACTTAGAAAATTGTCAGATCGAAATGTTGCAATTCCGCTAGAGGATTTGCTGCAGGGGTAATTCCCTATCAATGTTGCAATTATTCCTATACATATGAACAACTGGTTCACAGATCCGAGTGCGCCGAGAATTTTAGTTGGTGATATCTGACACCATTATCACACGTTTGAGCAACATAAGCATACAAAAATATCTGAAAATGGTAAGTTAAATGTGAAAAATTATGATACTCAGTGTTCAAACAATCTAAGATATGTAAAATGGTACAATTGTTGATGAAATTCCGATTCCAATTCCTGCAAGCAGACGTCCGACAATCATAGTCTCCACACTCTGAACTGTAACACTACGAATCAAAAGAGAACCAATGCGTTAAGAAAATCACTAAATTCTAAACATGAGGTAAGACTTAGAGCTTTAAAATATGCACAAAGCTCCAATGGTAAGCGGTATAGCATCCAATTGAGGCGTTCTTGTGCGTCCAAATTGTTCAGCTTACGCACCTCTAGTGAATGAACCGACTATGTAGCACCAGCAAGAAGCGCACTAACATCCATTGTGCTTAGAAGCAATCAGAGAGAATATCAATTATGAGATTGGTTACAAATTCATAACACGAACCAGAATGCACACTTAACATTTCATTTGATTACTCTTAATGTTTATATGCAGAGGAGTAAGAGAAGTCAATCATATACTTGTCTTGCAAAGCACTGTAGTTACTCATACCCAATAATTTAGCAGCAAGACAAGCAACCCAACAAATGGAAAACCCGTCCCAGAGCTTTTCCCATCAGCTTCTGAATGTCGATCTACATTAAATTATCAGATTATTAAGCCACTAAGAAGAAAATATTCCCAAGTAGGGCGTATAATCTAAGTAGAGTGTAGAGACAAATACAAACAACATACATGTATACGTGTGAATCCAACTTCCTTCACCACAACCCGTAACTCCACAAATTCTCGTCCCATAACTCCATTCGAAACTCTCATCCGATTCATCTCTTCATTTGGGAATGATTGGAAAAAAATAGTCCGATTTGAAGAGGTGATCTATATGATGGGAACAAGGAATAGAAGATGTAATGACGTTTCCAAGACTCGTTTCAAAGAAGAAATCTTCAAAGCGAAGCTATGGAAATCAACAGATCTTGAAAACGGCTGAGAATTGACAATTGGAAATTCGATATAAGTACTTCAATGTTAAAAGCATTAAACTTTAGGAATACAATCATACCTTGAGTACACGCCTAAATCTACAAAGTTTAGGGTAGGAGTGGCCTGATTTCAACTATTTTAGATCTCCTGATAAAAACCCTGTCAAGCGGGTGGATCGAAAGTTTAGATGCGAAGATAATGTGACTGCTCTATGTGCTCTTCAATTGTACAAATTTTAAAAAGGGTTTATTTGTAACAGTCCATACGATGAAACGAAATCAAGGGATTGGAATCGAGCTCGTACTCATGAAGAGGATGCGATGAAGCCTAAAACGTAAACTGCATTGATTTGAGCGATTAAATGTTAACAAAAGTGATTTTACAGGGAAGGAGATGAAGAGATTATCAGAGGAAGAAGGAAAAAAAATCACAAATTGGCGTAGTGGTCTCTTTTTTATCTCGTTTGAAGATTGCCACGTGGTATTTTTGGAAGAGTTTTCTTTTGGTTGATGTGACTAGCCTTAGGACTCCCAATTAGTTCCTTTTAGTTAGTATAATATTTATATTAACATCTTCCTAAAAATATTGATATTCGTACAATATATAATTCATTGTAATTAATTATATAAAAAATCAAGTTTTACTGTCATATATATATTTCAAATAATATACTAAAGAATATTTTATTTTAGTACCACCATAATGCACAGTCCTATGACTATACCTTAAAATATTTTATTTTATTTTCAATAACCATATAAATCCACCATATTATAAATTTCAGCTCCACCAAACGTAATTTTTTAAATTAGTTTTTTTATTGATGTTATTTTAAATCCATTTTATAATAATTTTATTAACGCACATTTATATATAAAAAAAATTCCTCTATTGTATTTGGCATAATAATTGATAGTACTAATAATCTGTATATTAATTGAGAAGACGTTTGGTGGAAAAAATCTAAATGTCATTCAATGAGAATTTTAATGAACAAATTACTAAATTAGCGAATGAGAATATTTTAATTAAAATTACATGACATGGTGAAAATCTATACATATTCTTATTAGTTTTTTTTAACATAAGCCCATTAA